GCTGAGCTGCAGCCCTGCCCAGCAGGATGGCTGGAGGGGATGGGGGGCAGGACACCCCAAAATGCTCCAGGAGAGCTGGCTGGGGTGGGGACAGGAGCCTGCAGCACAGACCCGGCGTGCTTGGGAACATGGAGCAGCACCCCAAGTGACCTGCACGGGTCCCAGCTCTCCCCCTGTGCTGATGGAGAGCTTGGGGCAGCCCGGGTGGGGTCAGGGCTCCATTGGGGCTGCTTTTGGGGCTGAGGGTGAGAAAAACATGACCAAGGCTCTGCCAGCAGCCAATGCTTCACATCCCCTCCACTGTGCCTTCCTCCTCGCCCGCACTCAGCCTCTTCCTGACATCTAGTGGGAGCAGGGAACACGGCACAGGGATCCCGTGCCAGCTGCAGGCTCCTGGGCAAGCAGCAGCCACAGCCTGGGCTGCCAGAGCCACCGAAAGGGCTGGCACCAGGCATAGCTCCCTGTGGGCTCCAGCAGAGCATTGCTGGGAGGAATTCAAGGCAGCAGTTATCAATGGCATGGCAGGGACCCTGCTCTGAGGTGTGGGACGTTTTTAGGGTTATCCACCCTCTCAGACCACCCGAGCCCTCTCCCTCTGTGCCATTCCATGTTCTCAGAAAGGTCCACAGCAGAGCTGGGCAGTTCCCTTCTCACCCTTGATTTAGTTGGCACCTTTGGGAAGCAGAGGGAAGAGGTGAGCTGGGAGCAAGGGACAGGTGAGAGCTGACCCAGCAGGACTTCACCCTCTCATTTTAGAGGACCACCCTCTCATTTTAGAGCCCATGAATCCTCCCTGGATCACCTCTCCTCCCCAGGGCCAGCTGCCAAAAGTTGCCCTGCTCCCTGCTCCCAGCCCTCTGCCCACGGCTGCAAAGGCAGGACAGGGACAGATGATGGCCACAGCATTTGGGGACATCGCCTCAGGRGTCACCCCACACTGGTCAGCATCTCTGCTGGACTGATCTCCCAATTCCTATCCCTCCCCACAGCCTTCAGCTGCAATGACAGCCAGGAGCTCCTTCCTCCTTTCTCATTTCACGTCCTTTCTGTAAACAAAACCACTTTATTTCTCCCCTTGTTGCCMCCTGCCCTTGCTGGACCGTGGTCATTGTCCCTCCCTTGCTGTCTGAGCATCCCCTCTCCACGTTTSGGTGTCCTCAAATCTCCCAAGGGAYGYCCAGGCACTTAGCAGCTAAAAGTTAACCACCAACAAAACAACAACAAAGGCCTTTATTTCAATGACCAGAAAAAAAATCCATTCCAAGAGCAAAGACAGTAATAAAACCCACGAATGTGCTCCAAGCAAAGTGGAGCGATTYGCACGGATCCCTTCCCAAAGCAGCCAGGCACATGTGGCTCCTGTCCCTGTCCCCTCCCCAGGGTGACACGGTGCAGAGGAACACGGAGAGACCCACAGGGACCCCTCAGCCCCGGGGACCAGGCAGCTCAGGGGGCAGTGAGAGGCTCAGGGGGCAGTGGGAGGTTTTGGGGGCAGGTGAGAGGTTCAGGGGGCAGTGGGAGGTTTAGGGGGCAGGTGAGAGGTTCAGCGGGCAGGTGAGAGGTTTAGGAGGCAGATGAGCGGCTTGGGGTGGGGATGTCACTGGTGAGCCCACACTGACCCCTGGGGAAAGGAAAGGCACTTCCCAAACTTGAGTCATCCTGCCACCTGCCCTGGGAGTGCAGAGCATCCCTCCATCACCCACCCCAGCCCATCCCAGTCAGATACCGCTCCAGACACAGCAGCACGGCCCAAATCCAGCTCTGAGCTGTCCTCAGCTGCCCTGTGCTCACTGAGGTTCCTGGGACATTCCCTGGCACTCCAGGGAGGCACTTGGATGGAGAGGAGGGACAGAGACTTCTCACTGCTGGAGGCAGGACAGGAGCAGGTGGTGGCCCTGAGCAGGGACCCCTCTAGAGCCATGCCTGCTCTCCCACCCCAGGCTCAGCCCAGCAGCTTGTGCAGTTAGGATCTGATTTTCTCTCCCACAGCTCTCTGAGGGGGTGTGGAGCCTTGGAGAAATTCAGGGATAAAATTCCAGAGGCAATGTTAATCCAGCAACTAAGTGGATGTCACTCGTAGAATTGAACCCAAAGCCACTGAAATCATGGATGAAGGATAAAAACYCTAAATCTTCAGGATTTCCATGGAGATCTGGTCTGTCCAGAGAGAGCCTTTGCCCTGTGTTTAGACAAGCAGCAGCCAAGCACTCATTCCCCTGACATGGGGCTCTGATCCCTGATCCCACCCCCTCCCTGTTTCTCCAGAGTTTGGGTCCCTTTGACTTCATTGTGCTCTTTTGGGGGATCCTGAACTACTCTGGGTCCCAAGTGCAAGGGTCCAGCATCGGCTCAGATCCTGATTTTCTCCTGAGGAGGCAGAAAGTTCCCAAGAAACGCAGAACAGGGGGAAATTGCATTAGYCAGGGAGCAGAAAGYCTCACAAAACTTCCAGATTTAACTCCCTTGTGCTATCAGCTCCTCCTGGGTCCCACCCTGTCACCTGAACCCAGCCAGGGTTGGGAACAGCAGCCTTTGGGTAGGGGAAAAGCACCAAAATTGACATGATCCCCCCAAATCCCAGGGCACTTCACAGCATTGGAGCCGGGGGCAGGGGAGTGGGTTGGGTCTGGTCAGCAAACACAGCACAGCACCGAGCAGAGCAGTGGGAAGGGATGTCTGGACCTGAGAGCGTTCAGAGAGAACCATCCTCACCCCCATGAGGCCGTGGAGGTGGTTTGGAGCAGGACCATGAGTTTCAGATGATTTAATTTAACCCTTTCTTCAAATACAAACTAAGCCAAAGCTGTAAGCAGTGGCAGAGCCTTCCCAAGGCTGGGGGAAGCCCTTGGCACTTCTCTGCTTCCCCCAGCTCTCCTCTAAATCTGCTGCATGGGGCAGGACCATCTATAAAACCCCTCAATTGTCCTTCAAAGTGAAAGAGCCAAAACCAAGGTGATCCCTACACTCCTCACCAAGAATCCTTCTCAGTGCAGAACGCACTCAGCAAAGGGATTTTTGGTTGGAGACACAACCCAGCTCTGGCTCTCAGTATCCCCTGTGGTGGCACAGCACAGCACAGCACAGAGCAGCTCACAGGGGTGGCATGGACGGCACCGTGTCGCTGCCGGTGACCATCACTGCGGTCACTYTTTTGGGAGGTAGGGACACTCAAACCACACTCCAAACTGCAGAGCAGCACTCAGGGAGTCCCGAGGGTGGAGATGTGTCCGKGGGAGGGCAGGGCTGGTCAGACTGGGCCCCGGGGGCTGCGCTCGGGCAGGAGGTGCCGCGGCGGGGGCTGCTGCAGCAGGGCGGTCAGGACGCGCTGCAGCTGAGACAGGCGGGCRCGCAGAGATGTGCACGACAGCAGGYTCAGCTGGTAGGATGGCTCCAGGGGCAGGATGGACAGGAGCCACCAGCACCACGTTGGGCCGTCTGCTGAAGCCTGGAGAGACAGAGAGAGACCCCCGGGTCAGGAGTGTGAGCGGGGAACAATCGCTCTTGTCAGGACAGAACACCGGCTTTGGCCAAGGGACTCCTCTGAACAGCTCTTTTGTCTGCCCAAGCCCAAAACTGCGGGATAAACTAATTTAATTTCTAGACAAGCCTTCCCCAGGGAGCCTCCAGATGCAGATGTAGCTGGTAAAAAGTCTATACTGAAGAGACAATGAAATGTCTTGCGCGTTTTTTTGTTTGAGGTGATGCTTTTTGTAAACATGGGCCAAATCCTGCATGGTGAATTCTTTTGGAACACTGGCCATCACTTGAAGAGGTGAGCTGCAGGCCAGGCAGGAACAGCTGTTGGGCACTGCTTTTGTAAACTGTTATTTTTACAGCCTGAGCCAAACTAAGAGCAAAAAGCTCACAGCTAAGGGAGGGTAAGTTATTTCATAATTCCAGAGCACATCATTAACTGTGACTGCTGGCCAGGACAACCTTAGCCTGGGACAAGCCAGCAAGACTATATTTGTAATGATCCAGAGAGGAAACACTTCCTTAAAGGAGTGAAAATTAAATTCTAGGAATGTTTTTTTCCTACAGAATCTGAATTTGTCAGAATAGTATAATCAGCAAATCAGATCATGTCCTCTTAGCTCCTCTCCTCTGGCCAGCTATGGCTGTCTCAAAGGATAACAATAAGAAAAGAAAACTGCAGACTCAACAAACTGCAGGGTTCACTTCTTGGCCAATTTTTTTGGTTTCTTTTTCCCAAAGTGTTTTCAAACCCACACGGTTCAGTTTCTCACCTCTCATTTAGAAAAAGACTCCGGGAAAAGATTTTAAACCTCAGTGCTCAGTTTCCAAGAACAGTTTAAAACCATAAAGAAAAAACATCAAGCAGGTTTACGAGACAAGCCCTATCAACCCTGAACGAGAGATGCTGTCACAGAGGTGAAAAACTGGGTTTGTTTTGCTCTTCTTGTGGGGGAAGCCGAGAAGSGAAGTCTCACAAAACTTCCAGATTTAACTCTCTTGTGCTATCAGCTCCTCCCAGCCCCGGGGAAGGGGGCTGGACCCAGTCAGGGTTGGGAACAGCAGCCTTTGGGTAGGGGAAAAGCAACAAAATTGACATGGTCTCCCCACCCAGGACACTTCACTGTATTGGGGCCAGGGGCAGGGGAGTGGTTGGTGGCTGGAGCAAGAGCAGGAGCAGGAGCAGGAGCAGGAGCAGCTCCCTTGGTTCTGTGCCTGCTCAGAGCACCCCTTCCCTCGGGCATTACCTGGATATCCTCCTCCTTGTCGGGCAGTGCTCCATGCTGCAGCAGGATGTGGCGGGAGGTGAGGTCCCCGTGCTCGCAGAAGCGCTGCGCCAGGCGATACGTGCTCTCGTGCAGCGACTGCAGCTCCTGCAGCTCCTCCCCGGACACCTGAGCACAGCCAGGAGAGACAAGGTGTCCGTGGGGAGGGTCTGCCCCACCGCAGCCCCAGGGTTTTGGCCAGCCCTGCCCTCACCTTCTTGTCCTCCAGGTACTCGATGTCAGCGGTGTGGTAGCCGTCCCGGTGGCCGCGGCGCAGCACGCGGAAGCGCTGCCGGCCGATGGTGTCCACCAAGGAGCGCCCGTCCGCCAGCAGCTCCACCTGACGGATYTCCAGCATGCAGCCATAGTCAGCAAAGCTGCAGGGACACAGGGACAGAAAAAAGGGGCTCAGCTGGGGTAATGGGTGGTGAAAGAGCTGCTTCTCCTGAAGGTATCACCTCCAAAGCAGGAGCAAGCTGCCTTGAACAAGTTCAGAGATTCAATCAAATCTCCTCCCAGTGCTCACTAAGAGGAGCTGCAGGTCACAGCCAGGGAGCCATGGAGCTCAGAGACACCCTGAGTCAGAAGCTGTTCCAAGAATGTTGTGTTTAACAGCCACCACTGTGGCTGGCCTCATTCCTTGATCCCATTTCACTCTWCAGCGTGGGGAACACACCACCTACCTCCCTGCTGATTTTATCTGTGAGATGTCACTGACAGGAAATCTCTGAGAGCCACTCAGCATTTCAGACATTTGGGGCAGASAGGRGCACAGCAGCTGGGGCAGASAGGGGCASAGCAGCTGGGGCAGAGGGCAGCCTGCCCAGGAGCTCACCTTTTGCCATTCTCATAGACGCACATGCCGAAGCGCCGGGCGCCGCTCTCCTGGCACCGCCGGATCATCAGGCGGTAGCGGGGCTCGAAGACGTGCAGAGGGCAGGGGATGCCAGGGAAGGACATGGTGCACACGAAGATGGGGATGTTCTTGGTCAGGCTGAGGGGCAGGAGGAGAAACCACTGTGATGCCTCTCCAGGCAATCCCATCCCAATGGCTCTGCGTCAGCTGCTCCCCCAAACCAGGTGTGTTCTTCGCCACATGTGATGCTCCAGCACAGAGCARCACTAAAGCTCCCATTTGGCTCACCAAGAGACCACAGACAGATTCTGCACACAAAGATGGTCCCTCACCCCAAGGTGCCCCATGGGGTGCACCCACACCCACCCAGCACTGCTCTGATGTGGTCAAGGCATCAATTGAGCTGAACCAAGCTAGAGCAATGTTATAGGGTATGGACAGTCCCTTCCAGCCCCCCATGTGCGCACACACACACACACACACACTGCTCCAAGGAGCAGTCCCTGCTTACTTGGAGAGCTCTGCCATCTCTGCCTGGTGCAGCTCACGGCGCTCAGCCAGCTGGGAGGGGAAGGTGGCCAGCATGATGTCCTGCAGCAGCACCGTGGGGCTGTACCTCCCAACCTTCAGGTACTGAAAGGAATGAGACCYGAAAATAAGCTGGAGAAGAGCAGGGAGGAAGCCCTGGGGCCCTGCAGGACTCTGAATCACACTCACTTTTATTGGAACTGAAAGTAATTTTAGACCAGAGAAAGTCAAGGATAAAACCTATCAGGGGATGTTGAGCCATGGAGCAGGATGGGATGTCAGCTCCAACGAGACCTGCAGACACAGCTCAGAGCCAGGGCSCTTCCAACACAGCTGTCCTGCCTCTGACAGTGATGCAGCCCTTGTATGACAACCTAATTTCCCTGATGGTCTCATCCGAATCCCTTTTCATTAAMGATTAAATCAAATCTCCAGGCTAGCAGGTTTTCCATCCATTTCCATTTTTTAAAATAATTAGCATTTGCTTCTCTCTCCCTCTCTCTCTCTCTCTCTCTTCTCCTGTTTACAGCCTTACTAAATCACTGTGGCATCTTGTGGAAATGAATCTCTTGGTCTCAATTATCAGCTGTCAGGTCATTCCCATGCGAGTGGAGCTGACACTGCCGTGCCAGGGAGCTGCTGGTGAGAGCACTGCACCTTCCCACCGAGCCCTGGGCACACAGCCAGCAGCTGCAGCAGGTCCCCAGCTCCCCTTTGGGCTCCATCCCATAGGATTCATGCCCTCACCTCTCTCAGGCTCTGTTTGCAGAGGGGGCAGTTGGGCCGGTGGTCCAGGCAGCGTTCCAGGCACTCCTTGCAGAAGGTGTGGCCACAGGGTGTGGTCACCGGCTCGAAGAACATCCTGCCAAGGATGATCAGAGTCAGTGGATTGCAGAGAGCAGCAAAGRGAAAGGAGCACGGGTAAGTCCAGCAGAGAGACTTTAATTAGTCCTTTAATTACACAGTCTGGGCTCAGACTGCTGGGCTTGCACCATGATGTAAGATGAGAATTGCAGCAGGCCTGAGCTCTGCTCCCCATCCCTGCAGGGTTCCCACGGAGTGCCAGGGTACTCCATATGGCACCCCTTGGTCCTGCAATGTTTGTGGTTCCCCAGACACCCAGGGTGGTGTGCAATCCAAAAGGCAGGGGCAGGAAAGTGCCTCCCTCCCCCTGCTCCAGAAGCAGAGCCAGCAGCAAACACTTGAGCTGCTCACAGGTAGCTCCAGGACCAGAAATGAAATTAAGGTCTTGAGAAAGCCCTGACTCCTGAACAGTTTTCTGCTTTCAGAAGAGACCTAAATTCACATAACTCAGATCAGATGCAGCCTCAATCTCTCCCCGCCATGCCATGTCCAGACCTGGACAAAGCTGCCAGGCAGGAGACCTTGACCACTGGTGTGTCCAGCAGTGCAACACCCGCCCAGCTCTGCCAGCAGCCACCTCCACAACTGCCAGGGTCCTGGGGCACAGCAGCAGTGACAGCCTGGCTTCAGCAGTGCCACACCAGCCTTCCCCAGCCCCGAGCCAGCACAATCACAGGCTCCACCCTGTCTCCTCTTCCACCTGCACCAGGCAAAGAGCTCAGAGATGCTCCCCTCTAGGATAGCAACGTCCCCCCCAAGGAATTTCCCTGGGCAACACCTTCCTGTGCCAGCCTGGCACAAAGGGCAACCACTGCTTTTGGTCTTTGACCCTGTTGACCATCCCCACCTCCACACCTGCATCCCTGGGGACAGCCCAGATGGTGATCCGAGCTCCTGCAGCCTGGCAGGCTGTCCYATGCCCCTGCCTTCCCCTCTCAGCTCTGCTGAACCTACATCTCAGCAGCACTCAGGACTGAGCYTGCTATGAAGATGTGAAGAAATACACACAGCAGTAAAGGAAACCCAGCAGTGCTGATTGTTCATCCTAAAAGCTCTCTCACCGTATGCAGAGGGAGCACTCCAAGTCAGATATGCTCAGGGACTCCCCAAGCCATGGCTGGGTACACTCTGCTGCTGTTTCTTCCCCATTATCTAGTGGCAAAAGAGAAAGGAAAAAGAAGACAAACCTCCATTTAATACAGAGAATTAATCCTTGCTTTATGACYTTATTCTGAGCCATAACTGCCCCACAAAGTGCTTTGAAAGTGTCAAAGAAAAACAAAACTGCTAGGAAATGCAACATAAACCCTTCTAATAACCCATCCATGTTCATCCAYAGCTGCTGTGTCAGTGGGTCTCATGGTACTTGGTAGAGGAAGGTGGCATTCCCTCCTTTTGCAGGCAGGGAAACTGAGGCACTGGGCAGTGAAGCAGCCAGGGTGGAAATCTCTGGAGACCTGCCATGAGCCATCACTGCTTTATGCAAACCCAGGTATGACCACCTGGCTGGACACTGATGGCACGTTAATGCCAATGGAGGTGCTTTCCTGTCCCCCATACAGAAATTTAATCCAAACCAAAACCCACCTAAACCCATGGGAACCAAACACAGCCTCTCCCTGACTCCACACAGGGAACATAGGATGGCTGGCCTTAGCCAGGACTCATCACCAAGCTAGAACCAGCTCAACACAGGAAGATGAGGTGGGTCCTCATCATGTGCGAGAGAAGCAGCAAATGCCCTGGCCAGACCTGCCCCGTCATGTGCCCCTCGTTGGGCTGGACACAGTGCAAGCACCAAGTTTTCACTGCCAAAATGGATTTCAAACAAGTATTTTGCWTGAGACATCATTGTGGTACCTCTGACAACACTCACCCAACAGCCACGGGCCCTCAYTCTCTGCTGAAGTCTCCGGTTCTTGCTGTTGCTCTGGCTGGGAAAGGGTGGCWGTGTCCTGGCTGTGCTCAGAGCCAGCATCCCCTCGGCCATCTGCCAGCTCTCCCTCCTGATCCTAGGCACAGCAAGATGGAACTGAGCCCAAACCCTGCTCTCCCTCTGAACACACAGCYCCATCTGTCCCACCAGGCCCGATGGCATCAGGACATTTCCCAGGACATTAACATCCTGCACCTGCAGAACAGCCATTGCTGCCCATCCCATGGTTAAAACACGGCTTCACTCTGTCCAGATGTACCAACTGCTAACTGGGTGTATCTGAGCCCATTTTATGAATTCCCTCCTCTCTCCAAACCTGCTCAATTTGTTCATAGAAGGCAAAGAGGAAAATACAAGCTTCCCTTACCAGCTACTAATGGTCTGAACTATTCTCAAATGTCTTTTTTAGATGAAAAAAAAAAAGAAACTCACTTTTCAGATTTTTTTCCCTCTTATTGGAGTGAGATGAACAGAGAGAGAAAGTGTCCTCTGTTTCCTGAGTTCCCACAGCATCAGCTCCTAGGGTACCTGCTCTCCCACCCTCCACACCTGCAGATTCTCATCCCAGCACACAACCAGGTAAACGTGGCACAGCCTCCCCTTATCATACCTCCTTTCCCATCACTGGACAACTGRGATGTCCCAAAGGGACAGTAAATCTCCTTGCAGACTCAGATACTGCAGGCTCTTACCTGAGCTTGTGTGGGAGATGGGAGCCCTGGGGTCCCTCCATCGATCTGGGAGCCAGTGGAGCTCAGGTGAGCATCACCCACGTGTGCAGCAGCCGTGTGTGGCTGAGGAACATCGGCTTCCACCATGATCTGCAAGGACAAAACAGGGTTGGGGGATGTTAGGAGGAGAAAGMAAGGAGGTGGGAGGGCTSCCAGGCTTCCTTCTTTTCCCCAAAMCCCCCTTGTGCTCACTGCTGGAGGTGTCTGTGCTGCTGAGCTCTCTGYTGAGTCCCTCAGAGCACAAGGACATCTCCCTGTGTGATGTGAGAGCACGGGAACCCACCATGGCAGAGCCCACACACCTTCTCCATCTCTCTCTGAGCAGGYTGGAAATGGGGTCTGAGTGTCAGGCAGTGCTCCAACGCCAGCAGGGCTTCAGCTCTCTGCCCCATCTCCAGAAGCACCTTCCCTTTCCTGAAGAAAGCCTGCAGAGCAGAAAAACCTGCGGTKACTCTGAGACAGTGACCAGCTGGACATGTGCCCCATCCAGCCCCCAGGCAAGCCCCAAGGGAATGTCCCTCCTGCCTGTCCCCATCCCAAACCAAAGCACTGGACATATCACTGCTCTCCTGCTCAGACTTGCCTAAAAAGACAGGGCTCTCAAAGTGCAGAGCTGCCAAAGCCARGCCTACAGAGAGCTGGAGCAGGGATGGACACGGTACCAGAGCTCTCCTGTGAGAGCAGCGCAGCACCTGCACTGTGCTGCCAGGATTAGCACCCTGACGGGTCTGCCAAGGGCATTTCTGAGCAGGATGAGCCCAAAGGCTTGGAGAACTCAGGACAGGGGGAAGCTGCTCCTGTCCACTCACCTGGTGCTCTCCAGGCTCAGCCCTGCACACAGCATCCAGGTCCTCCAGAGCCTGTGGGTACTGCCCCAGYGCCACCAGCGCCTCTGCCCGGCACAGCCGCAGGGAGCTGCAGTCCAGGGCTGCAAAGAGAAAYGTGGTCACTGCTGGGATGAGCCCATGGGGAGGCAGTGGGGCTGGAYGGGGCTGGGGACAGGCCACCACAGTGGGACAGTCCCTGTGGTGCTGCCTCACGCTGAGCACAGCCTGGCCCCACAGTGCTCTCCATCAGCAGTCCCTGGTAAGTCTCTGCAGGGAAGCTATTTCCTCTAAATACCCAGTTTTGAACTCTTTGAGGCTCTTCCCTTTGTTTTTCCCCCCACCTTCCCCAAACACCCTCAGCCAAGAGGCCCCATCACTGCCTCAGGCTGGGCTCATCTGGGCTTTCATTCATCTTTTTGGGATGCAGCAAAAAAGCTCYACCATACACGTAATCCCTACAGAGCCGTGGCCACGGGAGGCTCTGTGATGTGACTCACCCAGCAGTCACAACAACACATTACCAAACAAGACTGCAGTGCTGGATTCCTGAATTCCCAGAGCCACCTGGCTGTCAATGCTCTCCTGGGGCAGATGAGAAGCCAAAGGGTGTAAGAATCTGCCTGCATCACATGACCTGGGGTTTCCAAGGGTGAGAAAAGGCTGAAATTTCCCAAAAAGGAGAAAGAGAACGAAGCATCTAGTTTCTTGGCAGTGAGATGTCACTGATGGGATGTCAGAGGGCTGGGGGGGCACAGATCCCACAGTCAGGACACCAAGCATTACATGCTCCTGCCTCTTCCTAAGTAACTGACAGGAAAATCCTCTCCTTTCCTGCCTCAGAAAAYCACAAAAAGACCTTCCTTCCTACCAGCACTGCCAGCAGGGGAACTGGGTTTGGGATGTGGGGGAGAAGGAGGAAGCAGCACCCCAAGAGCCCACACTCATGGAGTAACCAGGTGTGGTGATGTCTGTGGGTTTGAAATGCAGAGATGGCCAGACCCACCCCGTTACATCACAGCTCTCAGGGGTGACCTACATCTCAGGGTGACATCCATCCAGGGCTGGTTTTCCAGCTCAGACAACAGGTCTGTGCATCCAGCCCTGCATCCCCCAGCCCTGAGCATCACCTCAAGGCTGCAGAGGGGGGGGGGAATTGGGGATTGTTGCTCCCTGGTCCATTTGGGGAGGCTTCCAGTGTCATGCAGGTCCCCCCACCAGCTCCCAGTTCCACGTGGGGTGATGGCAGGTCCAGCACAAGCAACACATGGAGGCCCTGCAGGATGCTGGCACTGAGGCCACCCTTGTATCATACATCAGGCACCATTTGTAGGATCTGCTGCTGCATTTACTTGTGGAAAATGCAGTGTGGGCAACATCACCTTGCTGAAGGGCCAGGAGCCCTCTCAGGGGCAGCTGGGTCCATGGGGCTGGCTCAGCCACCATCAGGAAACATCAGTGCTGCTGATGTCTGCTGCACTTCCAACCCCTGCAGCATTTCCTCCTGGCCTGGTTCAAACACGGTGCTGCTCTAGCTCTGCCAGCAAGCTGCAGGTCGGGACTGGCAGCTCCATGAGAGCTGGGTGCAGGGAGACTCTGCCCATTTCCCTGACTGCCTCTGCTGGCACCGTGCCCAGGGACTCATCACTTACCACGGAGGAGGAAACTCTGCCATGGCTATTGCCTCCTTGTCCCCACACCCAGCATGGAGACTTTGCTCCCTCCCTGGTGTCACCCTAACCCAGAGAGCAGCAGGCACAGACACTCCTCCCCTGGCCCTGCTGAGCTGTGCAGCACAGCAACACCTGATCCCTCAGAGCCTGATTTCATTTACAATATCAGCCAGGACCTTAGGGCTCGAGCCAGGAAACATGGGACCTTGCTCCTCAGCACTCTGTGCCACAAGCACTCATCCAGGGATGAAATATCCCACCCCTAAGGATGGCTAGGGATGAACAAATAGGTACAAAGTCTAGAGGCTGATTTTCCATGTGGGCAAACCCATTCAAACATTTGCACAGCCCGGCAATAAAGCCACTGATTTGGCAAAAATACACCCAGATGCGCCAAACAGAGCAGTGAATTCTGCATTTCTCTTCGGCTGCAGCTATTTTTGATCGATGATATCATTACACACCAGGGCCATCAGCCAGCTGGCACCCCCACAGCCTCGCCAGCCTCCGTGCTCCAGGCATGTCAGAGGGCCTCCTGTGCTACGTGTTAGAGTGCATTTTTCTGTTGTTCACTCAGAAAGAATGAAGATAAAAAGTTGACAGCTCATTTCCACCCAAACGAAGCGAGATGCTCTGCAGGCTGGGCTGAGCAGGGCACCGCAAACCGGCCAATCGTGCCACACTGAACCACAAACAAAACATTCCCGTGGGTCAGACATTTATCAGCGGTTCTGTTTCAAAGTGAAAGGCAGCCCGTAAAAAGCTGTGCAGCTGGAAGCTGGCTGCGGGATGCAGGAGTTGGAAAATACATCCTGAGAGCACCACCCACGTGGCTGAGCCTGGCAGCCCCGGCAAGAGCAGGTTCACTGAAGCTGAGGCTCTGGCTGCAATTTCCTTGTTGCCTTCAGCCCGACTTTCCTGTCTTTCGTGGAACAGAACGTGCAGGCAGAGCAAGGACGGAATTTGCAATGTTTCCTCTTTATACTCACAAAGGATTTTTAAAGAAATGTGTAATTGTACACCCAAACCAGGCAAAAGCCCGGCARTAAGTACTAGAGAAGCGTGCATGTGCCTTTGTTCTGAAAGAGGGTGGGCAGGGAGAGACGGATGCCTCTGCAGGTTGCATAAAAGAGCCTGTTTGCTGCTGCCAGCACCAGGATCGACCGGTCCGCTCAGCCCTTGCTTTTCAGGCTCACCCTGAASCTCTGGCACTTGTCTCGCAGCGGGSGATGAATAAGAGCCTGCGCTGCGGGAGGAGAGCGGAGCGCTGTCATAGAAACGCCGTGCGGAAAGGAAATTCTGCCTGCGTCGCCCCAACCCCCTGTTCCAGACACATTGTATAACCCCTTTTATTTAAGCGTTACTTTCCAAGAAATCCACTTACAGCCACACATTAAAGCAGATCAAACCCCACACTCCCCCCTCCCCCGGGCCCGATCCCGGCCCTGCAGGAAAATGTCGGGCCAGGGCAGCAAAAGGGGCTGAGCAGCACCCTGGGGCTGGCACAGGAGCTCCGCTAAAGCTGTGTCCTCGCCAGGCTCTGGGGGCGACGACGTGTCCATCCCGGACTGGGTAAGTCCCAGCCACTTTACATAATGGCCACCCACTGGGCAGAGCGCTTCCTCTGACCCTGAAATATTGCCGGGCGGCGAGATGTGAGTCTGTGCTGCTCTTTCCTCTCAGAAGCACGTGGCCGATGGCACACAGGCGCTGCGCCCCGGCCCTGGCTGCGGCTGAGCAGYGCGGTTTGCCCGGCAGCCCACCGCTGCCAGCACCTCGGGACATCCAGGGATACGGCAGAAATGCCCAGAAACTGTTCCTCCTTCCCATCCTCATCCTCATCCTCATCCCCATCCCTATCAGCCCTGCCTCACAACACTCCCAGCTTCCCACGTCTCCCAGCTCTGCACCGGAGCGCGCTGAGCTGCTGGGACACGGTGACCTACATTGATACCGCACCGAGACCCACCCGCTGCAGAGCCCAGCCCTGGATGTGCCTCCCCATCTCCGCCGCCGGGCTGGCCCCTCGCACCCCGCACCCCATCACCCGCACTCCCGACCCCCGAACCCGGCGGTCCTTACCCAGCTCGACCCCTCTCTGCGCCATCCTCAGCGCCTCCCGCGCGTCCCCGCGGGCGAGGCGATCCCGGACGCGCTCCGCCAGSCCGGCCAGCCGCCGCTGCCGCTGCACGCATCGCTCCAGGATCCCGCACAGCACCACGCTGCACCTCGGCGCCCCGACGCCCGGCAGCTCCAGCCGCTCGTGGCACAGCGGGCAGCGGSACGGCCCGGCCCCGCCGAGGCACGGCTTGCAGAAGGAGTGACCGCAGGACGCGGTCACCGGCTCCCAGAGGAGCAGGCGGCAGCAGGGGCAGCGCAGCAGGTCCAGCCACAGGGGCTGCCCGGAGGGATTCTCGCCGAGCGGCGAGGAGCTCGGGCAGGAGGGTCCGCTCATGGCAGCAGTCCGGGGAGCTGTCCCTAATGCCGGCAATGCCCACACACCCCGCGCATCGCTCCGCTCCACTCCGCTCCTCCCCGCGCCGCTCAGACCGTGCTCCGCGCTGCTCCCTCCCCGGCCGGCCCGGCGGAAGCGGCGGCTCCCGGCCCGGCCCGCCCCGTCCCGCCGGAGGGACCCTCGGGCAGGGCCGGTGGCGAGGCTGTCCTGGCCTCCATTGGCCGCCGCCGCCCGCGCCGCCCCGCCCCGGCCGCGTTTCGTAACGGAGCCCGCGGAACCGGGGGAGCAGCGGCGGCCGAGCGGCGGGGGCGGCCCCGGGCCGGGCTGGGCTGGGCTTGGTGTGCGGGGGGTGCCGACACCCCGAGCCGGGATGTGGGGATGTTGGGGGCTCCGCTGCCGATCCCCCGAGCCGGGATGCAGGGATGTTGGGGGCTCCGCTGCCGATCTCCCGAGCCGGGATGCGGGGATGTTGGGGGCTCCGCTGCCGATCCCCCGAGCCGGGATGCGGGGATGTTGGGGCGCTCCGGAGCAGTCGGGGTGCGGGGTACGAGCCGGACACTGGAGCTGAAGTGGTCCGGCAGGCGCAGGAGAGCTGTGCACCAGCTGGACACGGGCTATCAGGGGTGCTCTGAAGCAGGACCAAGGTGCAGAGTGCCGGGGGATGTTTCGGGGTGCCCCAGGGTGGGGCCAGGGCAATTTTTGGAGGCACCCACGGTGCAGGCTGCCTGGGGGTATCCGGGGTGCTGTGGAGCAGGGCTGGGGCACAAGTCCTGGGGGACACAGGGTGCTCTGTGATGGGGATGGGATGGTGGGATCTCTGAGTGGCTGGTACAGGATACCTGTGGTCCCTCAGCTGTCTGAGGCTTTCTGGAGTGGGGCTGAGGTGCTGGCTGTTGCGGTGATCCGGAGCAGGGTGGGCTGGTGAGGCTGGGTTGCACCAGATGCCTCTTTGCATTACCCTCCGTGAAAACCCATCATAGCACGATGTTTGGGGGCAAAGGGGCACCCCTCCAACGTCCACAGGAAACTGCACCTCCTTCAGATGCTCTACTTAGCCAGAATTGAATKAATTCAGACCTTGTACGTGGACAATCCCCCTCCCACTCACAGACCCCCTCAACTGGCTCAGTGTCACAAGGGAGACGTTTCCCCACAGCACACAGTCATGCCACAAAAAGTCAGCAGCTCTTACATAGCAGGTGCTGAAAAAACAGCTGAAATCTGGCGTCTCTGGAGCTTAGTGGATCAGATTTTATATAAGGATAATGCACATTCCCCAAGGGCTCAATTGTGTGTCCCCAGAAATAATCCAAACACTCACACACACTGGAAGGGCTTCTCAGGGAGGGAGATCCCCACAGGACGTCAGTGAAATCCATGCCCCACTGAGGGAGTGGCTGGCAGAGGTTTGGACTGTGGAGAAGGTTTTGTTTCCAAATCTATTGTAATTACATTAAACAGCTCGTGAGTGGTTTTAAAAGCTCAGCAACTTAGCATTTTATGTGGGCTTGATGGGCTTCATTGCTTTCTCCTTTATCTTCTTAAGTGATCCCTCCACACTGGAGAAATCTCAGGTGACGTTTGAACACTGCCCTGAAAACCTGAGCATGGCGGGGGGACAGTGGTCACCCTGGGAGCATTGGGGCTCTGTCTGGGACATTTTCCATGTTTTCCACCTTCAGGGTCAGCCTTTGGTTCCCCGTGCGGACAACCTTGCACATCACTTCCCCCAGCAGCTGTCCCATGGACATTTCTCATGTAGGCAAAGCTCATTCACACCAGACACTCTCCTCTCATGGTTTAGCTCTCCCCATGGCTCATTTTCCCACCAAAACCTGGCTGTTCACTAAAAAAAAGAAAAAAATTGCCACTAGGGCAGCCTCACYAGCTTTGCCTCCAGATTCCCCCTCCAGAAGGGCACATTCCTGCTGCTGAGCAATGAGATGAGGGTGATTTTAGCCACACTGCAGCCAAGCACACAATAACCTGTTCGTGTGGCTCAGCCTGGGAGCAGCAGCCTTCACCAGGGGCAGGTGAAGGAGTGCAGCACTTTGCATCAGAACCCAGCCAGTTCCTCTGGCAGACACGGAGCTGCTCGCCTGGAATTCACCTCTTTCTTTCCCTCTGCTCCTGATTCACTCCCCAGCCATGTGTGAGCTCTCACGAGCGGAGCAGACGTGCTGCTGCCTTTGCATAATGCACTTTAAAATCAATCAACCACGACACGCGAGGCCACGGCAAACCAGGCTTCATTAGCACCAGTGGGCAAGAACATTTTGTTTTCTTCAATCCCTCCAGAGCTGAGCCGGTTCAGAACTCCAAATGCTTCTCTTGTCACGGCTGTGTTTGTGCTGACTCAGTACATAACTGCAAAAAAAAAAAAAAAAAAAAAAAAGCTTTAAATGCCTAATGCTAACCATTCTGCTGGCCAGATGAGAACTTCACGTGTTGCATAACACAGGACAGATCACACTGTGTGTAGGAACTACTTGCAAAGCACAATAGGTTGTTTTTGGTTTTTTTTTTAATTTCAGTTTATGGGTGGGAATATCCCAGGGTCAGTGCAGGGTGAGGAGTTCCAGGTGTTGCTGCAGCTCCTCCTCTGGCTCCCAGCCACACGTCYGCTCGTGCTTCTGCTCCAGTACAGCCTCATTAATGTGGTCCAGACTGTTGACAGCCCAGCATGGGGATCAGGAATTTCACACCAGCTGTGTTTGCTCATTTTTAGTGCATAAATATTTGTTGCAAGCACTGACACTTGGTTTTGACGCGTTAGGGATTAAGCAGCGCCTCTGAAGCGACAGCACCTTCTCAGTGTTGCCTTTTTCTGCCTTTTTCTGCTTTTTCTAAGGCCTGTGTGCACCTTAGGGTGTCTTGAAAGGCATCCACAAGCACTTGTAAACAGGAATATGCCCCCTGAATGTCATGAGCCCTTTCCCACACTGCTATCCATGCTCTGCACACCAGCTGCCTCCATCAGACCTGAAAGTCCTGTTGCACAGAGGTGAAACAAGTTCTTCCATTTATAAATCAGCAGCAGGAGGAAAACGTCAGCATCCCAGGCAAGGAGAGGAGAGCTTCTATCAGCAAGGGCTCACAGTGGCATGTCCAAGTGCCTGGCAGCCTGCTGGGTGGTCAGGCAAAGAGCCAAGGCCACCTCCAGCCTGAGCCCCTGTGCAGACACATTTGTGCCCCAGCAGCGCTGCACCTAGATCCTGCAATCCTTGAGAGCTGGCCTAAGGAATTCTTTTTACACCTCAGTATGTGCCTATGACATGCAGGGAGTTATTTGCATCATCCCCCCCTTCCCCCCTGCCCCAGCCTGTCAACAAACACATCAGCTTCCTGGAATTTTTGCTTTCTTTACATCATGGTATTTCTAGATCCAGGATGTTATTCAACCACCAGGTTGGAAGTGGAGCAAAAGGAAGTGGAAGCAGGTGGTGTGGGAGACTCTTTGTCCTGAGCTCATCTTTTATAACCAGCACCTTTTSTCTCAGGTCTCTGTGTGCAGTTAGGGGAGCTGCTCCAGGCCTGGTTTTCTCTTGGCAGAGGCAGGCAGATTGCCACACTGCTCCTTGAGGTTTGGGATTCGAGTTCTGTGCTGTGCTGACCAGRAGCTGGGCAGGAAGCAATCATATAAATTACACAGTATTGCTCCCAAGTCCTGCAACTCTGCTGCTTGAGTGCTCAGAGAGGTCCTGACTCTCAGTATGGAGGATCAGATGTCAGCAGGATTGGGGAATGAAGAAAAATTTAGTATTTTTTCCTTCTGACTCACACAGGCTTTGCCTGAGGCAGCATCATTCCGAGAGRAATGAGTTGACTTTCACATGGATTGGTGGGACACAGAGCTGCAAAGTAATATTATCTCATGGTTCATGTAACTAGGCTTATGCCTGAACTCCTGGAAACTGGAGAGTCACAACAGGAGAGCCCAGATCCCTATCTGGTTGGCTTTAGTCTCTTGAGCCAAACATCTTGGCAAAGAGGTTGGCAGAACATTATCACTCAGTCTTGGAAGAGAGTCCCACAGAAAATGGATGGAGATCATGGCATGCAGTCATATACAAACCACAGGACCCTGACAAGAGAACCCAAAAAAAGATCAGGAATGTCCCCATTATCTCAGGGGAAGCCTGTGGTGGACTGTGGTGCTAGAAGCTTGCCTTGATGCCTTGCAGTTGCTTCATTTGTATTTCAATTAAGCTGAAGATCCTCCATCTACAGCAGACCCCAAGGAGGAGCTCAGAGTCAACACAGTTTGTCCAGCCCCACGTAAACCCATGGATAATGTTACAGAGTGATTAAAGGAGGAAAAGCCATAAGGAACCAACTCCCTGAGAGCACCTTCACATTGCAGCAATGTCCACGACTTCTGAGGAGATTTGTGTCCAGTGGGCCAGACCTGGAGGTCACATCACCCACTGCATCCTCTGGATGGGGAGAGATGGTTTGTAACCAGTTTTTACTGCAGGATCACAGAGGATCTGCCAGCTTCCCACGCTGCTGTGTGTCCACGTGCCTGACCCGGGGTGACACCACGGTGGTCCATCCCTGCATCCCAGGACTCGCCAGCTGCCCTGCCCCTCTCCCTCGCCAGCTCCCCTGGCCTTGGCTCTTTGCCCCAGCAAGAAGCGAGTACGTGCCGCCTCCCTCATTTCTTCCTTTTTCCACTTTTCCTGTGCAGCTCCCACCCGGCTGGCAGAGATGCCAGCAGGGCTGGCGGGCACCCAGCTCTGCCTTTTTGTGCCAGAGGAGGCTGCAAGTGGCAGCTGGGGGGCTCTGCAGGTGGCAGATCCAGGGTCTGACTTCCTCATCATCTGCCCTGGTCTGTATTCCTTCAGCCCCAGCATCTCCACCACCACTGGTGATAACTCAGGGTCCTTGTGGTGAGGACAAGAGATTCTTCCAAATTCTGTCTAAGAGTTGTGTCTGATCTGTGGAGAATGGAGCCCCTTGACATCTTGGAGAGAAATGCAGAGGGTTGCTCAGGGTCTCCCTGCAGTTCCCCTTCCCCTCAGCCAAATGGAGCCCTAAACACCAGCCCTGGGCTGGATTTCAAGCAGGATGAGCAGGGCTGTGTCTCTACCACAGTTACAAATAGCAGCAGTGGCCCGGGCAGAGCTTTCTGCTCAAGGAGCAGACAAATATTTCTGTCTATGCCTTTTTGTTCCACGGGCTGGCTGGCCTCCACCTCTGGTGCACTTTGAACAGCAGGTGAATCATGTTTGGGTAAGCCAGCTCCTCCTTTCATAACACACAGACGTCATGGATTGTAAAGAGGTCAGGCTGTTGGTACTCGGAACATTTGTCACCCAGAAACCTGTCCTGGTGGATCTGCCAGAGCAAATTGGCAGGTTTAGCTTTGCAAGAAGCCTGGCACCATTCCATTGTGGGTTTTAGGGAGGTTTTGCAGTGAGGTTTGGGGAGTAAGGAGCCTGCTCTGCTCCTCTGAAAGAGCAAATGCAGAATCCTAGGGAAGTTTGCAGGGGAGGGAAAAGTGCTGGGAAAGATATGTATCCTTAGCATCACTTAAAAGAAAATTAATCCCAAGCAATTCAGTGAATAAAGCTCTGCTATAACTTTTAGTTGCTGATTAACAAAGCAAAGMGTCTTAATTTACAGATATTCAGAACAAAGGGACAAGTTGTAGAAGGATGCAGCACAGGAGCAAGTGTGAGTGCCCTGCAGGGAGCAGGAGTGGGGATTTCACCTTCCAAAGCACCCTTCACTCATATGACTCTAGTTCCATTTGGGTTTTGCTTTTCTTCTTACTCAGCTCAAAAATAGAAGAGTGGTTTCATAGGAAACCTCTGCCCAGCACTCTGCAGAGATTAGCAGATCATAAGCAGGGCTGCAGGAATCAGCTTTTCTGGGAAAGTCAGGATTTCTAACTGTTTCCATTTTTTAGTGAAATGAAAAAGCAGCTTGAAATTTTCCATGAAGAARGTCACTTAGGAACAGAAGAAAGATTTCTTTTTGATCTCTACATTAGAGAGCCTTGTTTCTGTAACAGGACGCTTTATGTAATAAAGCCCCTAGATGCAAGATGAWAAGTCTCATCACAAAATAAAGGCCCAACCTTTCTGTTCTGAAATCGTTGGCATTTATAGAAAAATAAAAAATTGCTGCCTTCATTTGGGGGGCATCTCTGCATGAAATGGTCTGGGAAACAGTTCTTTCTCCACCCCCAAACTCTCTTGCCATCTCTGCTGCTGTGAGGCCACAGACAGCCACATATTGTGCAGGATTCCTGCCCCCCAGATGCTGTGAACAGGGGCAGAACAACCCCTTCTGCTCCCCGAGGACCGGCCAAAATTATTATATAAATTTGTGTAAACAAGACTTGCTTAAGTAACTCCAGGGCTGCCAGYTCCTCTTGCTGGTCTCCTTTTCCTACTCCGCCCCTCCAGAGCCTGGTGTGCCGGGCGTTCAGCACAGCCCTGTCCGTGCTCCTCTCCCAGCTGGCTACAGGCACATCAGCTCCACTCTGCTTGAACCTTGCAGATGCTCCAAGAAAACGAGGTGGTTCAAACATCCTGCTGAAGTCAGAGCTTAGAAGCTGGCAGCTGTGACATCTGCTGACAAAAATCCATCCCAGCACACCAAGGTCATGCTGGGGAATGTGTACCACAGGAGAGCCACTGAATGCTGTGGCTGAAGGTCCTCAGCATCCCCAAAAGCCAGCTGCTCCACCTGCCTTTTTCCTCCTCCACTAAGTGTTTTTAGAGCCCTAATTGCCATGGCTGGCACGAATGTTCAAGCTCTACGCCCATTCACATCGCCTGGCTTCAAGCCAGGGCTAAGGTGCAATGAGGAATTAGGGACACCACAGCTTTTTGGGGAAATKTGGCCAGTTTAAATGAAGGCAGCACAAGGGCTCAGAGGGCGGCGAGCTACATGCAGGGCAAGGTGCCAAAGGCAGGACAGAGAGCCTCAGCTGCTGGAGGAGATGCCAGGCTCTGGGTGTGTTTGTCTCTTTGCTCTCGTGCCACAGGGGTCTGGCAGCACAGGCTGTGTTTGCACGGAGCTTAGTGCGGTGGCCTGAGGCAGTGGCTGTAAAACACAAGCAGCAAACAGCAAGATTTCACCTGGCTCAGTGCTCACCATCACCCAGCAGTACAGGGAGTGCCCAGTGTTGGCCCTGAGCATATGAAAATGCTGAGGACATGAGGACAGGGCAGTGGTGGGGTCAGCTGCAGACACCRTTTGCAAGCTCCACCCACTTTGGGASCTGGGGCACAAGGCAYAGAGGACAATTTCAGGGCTTTTAGGTGAAATATCTGTCAGCTGGAAAGCAGAATCTCACTCCAGTAAGATGCAACAACTCTCAGCTCCAACTGAGCATCTACAGGCAGGCTTGACCTCAGAGTCTGGCACAGCATGCTTGAAAAGTTTCCAACYTTTATCTTAAAAAGCAAAGGCAAGGCCTCTCCTTTTCATCTCCGAACACAGAGAATTTATTCCCAGATATTCCCATCCTGTAGCAGAATGGTCTGAGGGGTCTGTAAAATGCTACAACTCCATCTACTATTTGGAAGTAGTTTGTCTCTTGTGCAAGAGTCCTGTGTACTTGCACAGAGGGAAAAGTAAAATATGTGAAAAAACCCCACATAGGATTATCTTACATTAATGCACCCAAGGGTTCATGAAGCAATAAGGCAGTTAAAATCAATCCTTCCCTGCTGAAGCCAAACCAGCTYAYTGGAACCCAGTTTGGCTTTTGGGGYTGTTTGYTTTTCCCATCTTCGTGTTTTCCTTTTAATCTTTGTGCTGGATAATTAAGACAACATTCCTCAGCATCTTTCCTGCTGTTTGTTGTGATTATACAAGAGCCGGCTGCATTTGTTCCCTGAAAAGGACATCCAAAGCCACATTCTGTGGTTTCGAGTAAAATCCTCCACGGTGCTGACTTTTAAACTCGACTTTGCCTGAAATCTGCATTACTCAAGAAAATACTCATAAAAACCGACTTCTTAAAAAAAACAAAGCAAGGCAGCAACGCAGAGGGGAGGGCTTGCACTCAAGCCTGCATTTAAGTTTTTATTGATGGTGAGACTTCTGGGCTTGGCTTAATTCTGCTGGTAGCAGCGGTGGGTTGGGGTACTGGTGCTGTGTCCCTGTCTGAGGTTCCTTTTGCTGCTGGCTGGACCCTGCCAGGCCCCCAGAGCACCTCCTGCTCCTGGTGCTCTCCCTGTCCCCGGTGCTCCCTCTGCCTCCGGAGCTCTCCCTGTCTCCGGAGCTCTCTCCCTGTCCCCAGAGCTCTCTCTGCCCCATTGCTCTCTCCCTGCCCCCATTGCTCTCTACCTGTCCCATTGCTCTCCCTGTCCCCATTGCTTTCCCTGTTCCCGCTGCTCTCTCTGCCCCATTGCTCTCTGCCCCATTTCTCTCTGCCCTATTGCTCTCTCAGCCCCATTGCTCTCCCTGTCCCCATTTTTCTCCCTGTCCCCATTGCTCTCTCTGCCCCATTACTCTCTCCTTGTCCCCATTGCTCTCTCTGCCCCATTGCTCTCTGCCCCCCTGCTCTTTCTCCCTTTCCCTGGAGCGCTCCTGCCCCCGGTGCTCTCTCTGCCCCCGGAGCGCTGCGGGATCCTTACAAAACAGCCGAGCGGTTATGAAATCCGTGGCCCCGCTGCCAGACGTCCCATCCCCGGTAGATGGCGGTGCCAGATCATTTTTCCTAATTTTTTTCCCCTTATTTTTTTTTCCTGGTGCCGCGCCCGATGCCTTCCCCCGGGGCCGGGGCCGCAGACGCGCGGCCCCCGCGTTTCTGCCAAAACAGAAAGGTTTGTCGGAGTTTTTCTCCCCTATATCTGCTTTTGGTTTGTTTTTCAYAAATTTGAAATCAGTTTTAACAGCTCGGCACAGCCACAGGTGTCTGTCCCTGCTCACGCTGCTCCATCCCACAGCAAGAGGCATGCAGGGCACAGGGAGGATGTTGGTTTTGCCAAATCCGGGTGGACTGTGCAGAGCCAGGCAGAGCTCCCGGATTTGTCTCCAGATTCTATCATGGTCTTGAACAAATCCTGCTCGCCCAGSTCCCAGCTCCCCACCTCTTGCCTTTCCTTGACTGTTTCCTTCCACAGTCAGCACGGGGCAGGCAGTGCGACTGGATGAATAAACAGCATTTCTCTTTGGAGACCACAACATCTTTATTTGGCTAAGAGTGGCCCAGTCGCCCTCCAGCACATGCTGCTGTTGACACCTCCACCTCCTCGGCGTGGCCAGGGCATGTGCTGCAGCTCCAGCACCGAAAGGCTAATCCTTGTCCTCCTTCTCATCATCCTTGGCAATGCCCTGGTCCTGGGGCAGGAACAGAAAGAAAAGGGACAGTGAGGGGAGTGCTGGGTGTCCTGTCTCATGTATTTGATGGCATCCACACAGGGGTTTGTAGGTGCAAGCCCCACAGAGCTGGGGGTGAGGTTACCTCCTCCAGGTCGCTGTCAGAGCTGCTGCTGCTCCTGTCCTCTTCCCCTTGTTCCTGCTGGGGTGAAGAGAGAGGGACAAGAATCACTGGGAACCCTGGCACTCTCTGCTGTTTGAGCTAGAGATTCAAGTCAGAGACACTCCTGGTCCTGGGGGTATCTAGAGCCAGGCTGGGCTCCACTGGTGCTGTTGTGAACCCCACAGAGCCCTCCAGAGACAAGAGCAAGGATTTCATGATGTGTGCGGTGCAGGAGCATCACTGTCCACACCAGCATCCCATTTGGAAAGAAAAAGGAGGGGGAACTAAGAAGGATGTTGGGACAAAGCTGTCTCAGTGGAAAAGCCATGGGCACAGTGGGATTTCTCGGCTGTGGAGGGCAGAGCTCCACCTAGCACAGGAACAGGGCTGCCATGGCTCAGACGTGGCTGCCCTTTACAGCCAGGATGTAAATGGTTCTGTAGAAAACTCCATCATCCCCCTACCTTTTCCTCTTCCTTCTTCCTCCTCTTCTGCTTCTCCTTCTCTTTTTCTCCCTCAGCCTTTTCCTTCTCTTCTTCCTTCTCCTCTTTCTTGTCCTTCTCCTTATCCTCCCGTCCAAACCCTGCAGCAGGGCACACAGGAAGGTTCATTTCTGGCGTGCAGCATCCAGCACAAACCCAGCAGGTGTCCCTGGGCCCACACCAAACACTCACATTTCAGGATTGTCGACATTTCACCGAAGCCAAAGAGCTCTGGGGCACGACACGGTCACACCTGTGGAACAGAGAGGACCTGAAGGAGCAGCTGGGGGTGGAGGAAGGTGAATTTTTAAAGGATGAAAACGAATCTCTGGATCATTCAGCTTTTACAGAGGTCCTGTGCATTTCTTAACCCCCAAAACAGCAGGGGAGGAGATCAAACAATCTGTGGACTGCACAAAAACCAAAAAGACCAGACCTTATGCCCACCCAGGCAGCCCCCACTGCCCTCTGCACAGGGAAGCAGCAAGCAGAGAGTAATGGAGGCAGAGAAATCTCAGGTCAAATAAGCAGAAAAATGCATTAAACCCCCACAAGCAGGTGCAAATTACAGAACTATTTCAAATTAAATAAGGAGGAAACAACAAAGAGCAGATGTGGGGGCTCCCAGGAATCCCCAGCAAAAAGGAGACCTTCCCTGAGGGACAAGGTGATGGCAGGGAGGGAGATGGAGACAGCAGCAAGCAGAAGAGAAGATGAGAACAAGGGTAAGAAAACTCCAAGCATTGATTAGGTGCCWGGAAGGTGACAGATGAAAAGAAAGGAACAGAAACAGCTTGCTTTAAAAATAGGAGACCCAAACAAAGCTATGAAAYAGCCTGGGCAGGCCAAACCCTCCCTCTCATACACAAACAGGGCAGCAGGGGAGAGGGATCAGGTCCCTTCTGCTCGCAGGGAAGAGCAGGATCCTTCCCTGCTGCAGCAGGTAATTAGGAAACAGTTTCCCTTCCAGCCAGTGATGGAGGGAGGCAGAATATTAATGCTTCCTTTTAATGGTTTTTAGCCACAAAATGACATCATCTGGTTGGTATTATTGGCTCTTTTGTAGGAGCCATTCGCAGTCTCTGAGCCGATAACATTGATTTGTATTTTTCAGGCAGGTTTTAAACCCCCAGGGTGCTGCAAGGGAGTGGGAAGCAGTGGGGTTTGGGGTGGTATCAGGGAAGAGGGAGTTTGGATGGGAAGGAAAAGAGTGTGGGAAGTGACTGATAAAAGATGCAATCAGTGCAAAGTTAAAATCTAATTAATAATGAACRGCAATCTAATTCATCTCCGTAATTAAGAAGTGTAACTACTAATTGAAAATAATTACATTTTAATCTAAAATCATTAAAAATAATCAAACATTAACAAAAGAAAAGGCATCCCCTGGGAAGGGGTAGGAGAAGGGGTAGGTGACGCTCTGACCCCGGGTCCTCACCAAAGCTGCCCCACAGCTCCCGTGGTGTGYCCAGCCCCAAATCCATGAGGATGCYCYTGCCCTGTGCCCTCACAGCCAGGGCTGAGCAGACCGGGCAGGCACGAGGTGGATGGAGGTGGACAGCAAGCACTGCACTAGGAAATGGGCAACCAGACCACAGTCCAGCAGCCAGGGCTGGGAAGGGGCGGCGCTGCCCCAACACATGCCAAAAAACACCTCTTTTGGGGGGAATTCCTCCCTGCACTGCTTCCTCTGTCCCTGGGGACCAACCCTGCTGTTTTCCAAGAACTGGGGTGGGTTCTGCCAAGCTCCTGCCTGGGAGATACCCCCAGCCCCCTGTGCAGCCCCTGTCCTGGGTGCTGGCTCCTGATGGCTGCCAGTGCTCAGCTTTTGCCCATCCCATCCCATCCCAGAGCAGCAGATCCAGTTCTGCCTGTTCCTTTAGAGCCTCAGCCACCTCGCATTTCAGGCAGGCAGGTTTGCCTGCCCCAGATGAGCCGGTTCCCTAAAGCCCAGGCAGACAAACCAACAAAACCCAGCGCCCAGCTGACGGTCCCCACTGACCAGCTGCAATTGTCCATAGTCCAGCAGAGGTGCAGCTGGGTCAGATCTCTGGATAACAGAGCAAAGCTGTGTGTTCATACCTCTCCAGATGAAGCTGGGATGGCCTTACCCTTCCAGACTCAACAGTGAGCCCACTCCCAGCTCAGCTGGGGACTGAAGTCCTTCCCACAAGGCTCAAGTCCCATTGCCATCCCCAAGGCCACACGGACCATGAGCTGTCCCAAACATGCTGCTGCTGCACCCTGTCCTTCACCCTGCCCTCCTGTCTGCTTTTCCAGCTTGCAAAATACTGAGGTGAGTCTGTAAATTCTCTGGATGGCACAAGGGAGAAAAGGAAGGGCCTTACCTGGAGCTGAAAAAGAAGTGATCTCCTYGATGGCTGGCTGGCAGCTCCCAGGGCTCCGGGTATTTGAGTGTTGCGGTCTCCTCCCCAGTCCCACTTTTGGAGCAGAAAAACTGGCTCTGCCATCCGTCATGGCCAGCACATGACACCGGAAACATGACCAGTCCCATTGGTACCCGCAAGAGGCATTGCCTCCAGCACAGGCAGGAGCAGAAGGACCTTTTGCAAGCAAGTCAGGGCAGCTCTGGAGGCTGCAGACATCCATGGGGACCTGCCCTGGGAGCAGGGAGAGCACTGGGGATTCAGTCTGGGAATGTGGTAAGGTCAGGACCCTGCTGGAAGTACAGAAAAGGGGCTTTGGGGGATGCTTACTCTGGGTGGGAGGTGTCAGGCAGCTCCAGGAGGTCCCAAAAAAGCCTGGACCAGGCAGAGCTCAGCACTCCCAGCTCCCTCTGATGCTTGTCCTTGCTGCTGGCTTTCACTCCAACATATCATTAAGTAAATACCTGTCAGCAGAGAGCAGTTACCAGCACGTCTAAACACTTGCATAATGTGCCTTCCCTCTAAGGCAATGCCCTCATTTCCAACAGCACCAGTATGGGATAATAACAGCAACAACAGTGTCAGAAAGGGCCTGTGTACCCAACTAATTCGTTTCCCCCACCTAATAAAAGGAATTAGCTCTCCCGTAAGATTTGCCCCATTTCACGCCTTCATCTCTACAACAAAGTTGCTCCCACAGTCATTTGATTTTCATTTACTGTAATTGCAGTGTGTGTGGAGCCCCTTTCCACAGAGTGAACCTAACCCTGGGTAACCTATGCAGGGAGTAAACAGGTCTGCAGAAGTTACTTGTTCCAAACACCTGACTATGTCTGCCCCAGGCCTCTTCCACCTGAACTGACCCCACACCCAGAGCAAGAGTCTCCTTGCCAGGTTTAGATCAGAAATGAGGGATGGGTTTTAATGGCCAGGGTGGATAAACCCAGAAGCAGCTCAGCCAAGCCAGTGGCAGAGTCCCTGCTGCTGCCCATTTTACAATCAGTAGCTCTGGAGCTCTTGCAGAGGTCCTTCAGCTCACACACAAATCACTCAGGGAACTCCTGCTGCCAGCACTTACTCTGGGGATAAACGATGGCAGCAGTCCCGTCTGAGCCAGTGTGGCCCAGCCCCAGGTCGGTGCAGCCATGGAATTTGGTGAGATGTGCACACAGAGCACAGTGCCAGACCCTGGATCTGACCCAGGTAAGATGCCCAGTGTTGGAACCAGCACCAACCCACACCTCTGAGCATCTCCTGCCACCTTAGGAGGATCCTCCCTACAAATACCAAACTCGAGGTTATTTTTAACTGGTGACCTCACTGGCTCAGCCCAGCTGGGCTCTCAGTCCTCTGATGCCTCCAGCATCCTCCAGTGAGAGCAGCCCAGGGGACAGCCCTGTGGGAATGGGGACACAAAGGGCCATCCAGGGAACCAGGACCATCCCGACCATCAGGCCAGGCTGCAGCCAGCAGCATCTTCTAGCGCAGGGGTGGCTGCCACCCCCAGCAGGACAGCAGAGTGGCAGCCAGGGACACTTCTAGGTCCCTACTCTCACTCTGCACCGGGCACAAAGCTGCCCTTGAAGGAAGGAAAGCACCTGTCAGCCAGCACCCAAAACACCAGCGCATGGTACCCTCAACAGGAGACTCCCAGAAAACATGGATTAGCACAGCACAGGCCACTTATGTCCTTCCTCTCTGTGCCAAAAAGCCTTTGACCACATAACATCCATCTCTGCTCAAGTCCCATCATCCCAGACCACTGTTTATTTTGGATTCAAAGTAAACACCTGAGAAGGAAATGCCAGAGCCCTCCTCCTCCTTGCCCCGAGCTCCCCCCTTCCTGCCTCTGAGTCAGGCCCTCTAATTTGTGCTGTGGGTGACCTGGGACAAGTGTCCCTTTAGTCAGGGCCACCAGTGGCCACATAGCTACTGCWTCTTCCAAATGAGGACAACTGCTCWTCCTGCCAGAGSTTCTGCTGTTGAACATGGACATTTTAATAATGKAAAATAAATCCCTGGGAAGGCAGCWGGGCAAGGCCTGGGAGCACATCCCGAAGCCCACTGGGAAGACCAAGCCTTTTTTATGTTTTAAACCTTTCTACAGCAGCTGCCAGGAAGCAGCTTTTASAGCTGCAACTAACAGAATCACTCCCAAGGAAAGAAAACAATTGTGGAAGGCTTTTTTTTTCTCCTCCAAGTCACTGCCAACATCTTAGCTGACTCTTATCTATTCTCAGCCACCTCTCACCTCCCCAAACACTACCAGAAGTGCTCAAATTACTGTCAGCTCTCATTAGGTTCACAGACAAGGCAAGGCCAAGCAGGAAGACCTCCAGACAGCTGGATGCTGAATTCTGATGAATCCTTTGGGCAGAAAGATTTCAGAGACTGTGGAACTGTTTTTGTTGTCTATCTGTTGCAATCCTTGCACTGGCACACAAATGAAGCTGGTGTAGGTTTGATTTTTGGCTGCTGTAACAAAATCCAGGTGGGCACATGACTGAAAGAATTACTGTCTGCATATTAAAAAAAAAAATCACCTCATTTCCTTTAATTATTAAACTACTCTACACTAAAGCACTGCAGGTCAGTAGAATTTATCTGCAAAAAAGCAGCTGCTGCTGCTTCATAAAACCCCATTACCTTTATTTCTTCTCTTCTGACATTTCTGTAAATTTTGGCTTTTTGGCAGGAGCAAAGCTGCCTTTTTGCACTGACACAGCAACTGGGAGCTCATCTGTGAGAGCTCTCACTCCCCAGCCTGGGTTCAGAGCACTCTTTCCTGCCATGAGAAAAATCCCAGCTGGCCCCATAGCTGCGCCTAGCTCTGCCCCAAAAACACAGTCAAGACTGGGAAAAAACCCATTGTTCTTTCATTTAATTCGTGCCTACGGCTACCTTGATAGCTTTTAAGTGAAACAGTTGTCAAAACAAATCCTTTATTTAATAATGCTATCAACGAAAAGAAGAAAAAAATACAGATTTTATTGTAGTGCAGATTTTTTTATCCCAGACACCCTCCTTTCAAGTCCAGTTTTAAGATGMAAGAAAAAGCTCTGCCTTTAGAGATCTGATCAGTCTAACCATGACTAAGGCAGGGCTTTYTCCATATATATAAAATCAGAGCATTAGCCAAAAGGTATTCTAATACAAAAAACATTTCTCTACTGCACAACTAGAGCAGAGGAATGTTCTAAGCCTTCAGTATAGCAGAAATGTGCAAGACCTGCTAAAACCCAGAGGATTTTCAAAAGGGGATTTGWGCATCATTGTTACCAATGAGCAAGTGCAGAGGCAGGTGTGACACACAGTCACCTCTGGTTAGCTATTATGGACTTCTTGAAATTCCATTTTAGCTGTGCATTTCTGCTCTTGTGATTCCAACAGAGGCTGCTGCCTCCCCATGGGCAGGCTCAAAAGATAAAGGAACAAAGCAGGGAACTTGCACAGCACAGAGAAACAGATACCATATGTGGAGCAGCTTCTGAGGCAAATTAGGACTCCTACTAACAGAACCAAATTGCTACCCCTCTCCCTACTTTAATATATACCTTCCAAGGTGCATTGCATTATAGTGTTTTTACACAGAAGACAGGCAGTATGTGAGTCTGTGAACAGTCTGTGGCTGACATGTCAAGCTGCACTGAAAAAGGGGAATCCTCCTGCTGAATTCTCTCATTAAATTGCCCAAACACGAGCAATCCCTCTTAGTCAGTTCTCATTTATTACCATAAAGCCAAGTACCTGCATTCTTAGGGCCAGATCAGCATTTTCCCAGCTTGTGCTGAAGCAAGCACAGCGTGAGAGAATGAGAAATAGCCCCCTGGTGAGASTCCCTGTCCCACATCCCTGAGTCAGTACAGACATCTTCAGGGCTTCTCTTCAGCAACAGCAGCTTGGTAATGAATCCTCTCTGCTCTATTCTGCCTAGTCTAGAAGGTTCATAATCATAAATATTTGCCTTTCCATGCACCTCCTATCCAATATTCACTTCAACGCGAATGCAGAGCTATCAGGAACCCAATTATGTCTGACTTAAAAATCACACCATGATTTTAGCTAACTCTAACTAGCCAGCTGCTACTCCTCTCTTCAGCACCAGAGAAGCTCTCTGGACTGTGAACACAAAGAGCTTGTTAACACATACAGCAGAGAGATTTCAGTGAAAAGGTACAGACAGTCCATGAAACAGAGAAGCAATCTGCACTTTAAGTCTGTCACGTTGTCCACCAGCCTGGACTATGCTAATCACATCTCTCAGTGTGCTGTAAGAGCTGTCATTGCCAGACTGCACTTAATCACCATTCTTGCAGCAGCAGTGAACAGAGTTCATCTTTTTCCCTTTAATAAGAGCCATTACATCATTCTCCAGCATGGAAACTACGAAGTGGGAAGGTCAAAAAGTTCTTAATTAGAAGGATTTTTATTACTGTGATAGTTCCGTTCTAGCCTCAATAAGAGAGATCTGCAGTACAGGCAGCAAGAGCTGGAAGGCATCTTGGATATAGGAAGCACTGTTTGAAGCCTGTGAAAACAAAAATCAAAATACACACATGAATAACTACGCTACCAATCAGCTTTACTCACCACGTACTCATTTCAGACAGCATTGATTATGGAACAGAAAAAACRGAAGCCTAGTGCTTGCTGGATTTTAAAGGCTTCACTCTAGAAATCAATTTGATATCAAGTTTTTGAGGGGCTTTATGCCATTAGGGATAAAAAAGCAGGTGGCTTACAGACTGCCAAACAAGATCAGTTCCAATCCAAATGCAGGATACTGTTCTCAGTAACAGATGAAAAGTGTGTATTTCTAAGTGAAGCATAGCATGCTGTAGCAGGAAGAAGAACCCACAAACATGAAACACCCCCTTTCCTATCACACCTCAGAGCTCTGCAAGCCTGAGAACAAACTGAGAAGTAAGGAAGCATTGGGACTCTTGCAGACTAATTTCTGAACTTGTCAAAGGTTTGACTTTGGACATTTAAATTGTAAAAATTCAGACTGTTGAATTTAGTATGTATCTCCTGACCTATCAGAACTGTGAGCTGACATTTGCTCCTCACTAAGTAACTCATCTCTTGTGCAAATCTACGACATTTATCAAAACTTTCAAGTTATTAGACAAGTAAGCACAATTTTAAACCATGGGTTAGACAACTTGGCATGCATAAAGATCCTGCAGTGGGAAGAACCAGCATATCTATTTTTAAAGTATTAGCTTACAGTTTTAAYGTTAGCATAACTGACCTCCAAAAACACTCCAGTGATTAAGGGATTAAGCACATCTGCTTTCTCTTTGACCTGCAGAGATCAGACATATATTATCCTGATTGAAAATTTGATCACATTTCTTCAAGCAAGATAAAGCTAAATCCTCAGTAAGTTTAAAACCACCACTGCTCCCTTAACTAGAGGAAAGCKAAGCCACAAGCTTAGCTGCCTTGTAGCATGCAAATAAGAACAAAGCAACCTGCATCAGCCCAGGTTGGGTGTGAATACACATCACATCTTCAAATGAACTGGGGACAAGTGGAGAATCCAGAGATGATGATGATGCTATCTTCAGTAACACCTAAATGCTTTGGAAAAGCCACAACAGGCTCACAAACCTTATTTGCTTCTTTCCCCTCAGTAGCTTGAGCATCAATTCCCACCCCCACTCTGTACCAGCCTGAATGCAGGAGCCTCTCAAAAGCTCAGCTGCTACAATTTGAGGAACACTGGCCTGGAAGGTCAGTTCACAGGGAAAAAGCTGCGTTATGTAAACATGCAAAAACAAAAAGCACTTCATGGCAAAGATCCCAAGGCTGTAATCAAATAACCACATCTCATTCCTGAGAACTGTGGTGTAACTCTTACCCCTGCAGTCGTTAAGCAYGTTGTGAACTCTTTAGAGAAAGCTGACAGCTCTTTACAAAGCATGATCGTCAGTCTGTGGAAGAAGAGGGGGAAAACAATGAAGTAAACACTCTCCTCAAGATGAAGTTTCTTTCAACATTCTTCTAAAACATAAATGCTTTGTTTCCTTATTAAGTTCAATTAAATCAAAATTGATATAGAACATATGAAAGCTGTATGAAGATTCAGAGGTTTCCCAAATAAAACAGAGAGGGGAAAGATGGAGAAATAAATAATTAARGCAGAAGATGTGGAACAGCACTCTGAGGACAGGCACATCCATGCAGAAGGAACAGTACTAGCTTGCCTTTTTTTACTGGCAAGTGTAATTTTCTGAATTAGAAGGTACTGGATTTCAGATACATGCCAAGTATCTCCTGTGCAGTAATTCTGCAGTCTCACATACCAAGCATGCTAAATGATTAACAAAGAGGTAATCAGGAATCACTTTTATACAATTGCCTTGTCATGTTTTAAATCTCTGCCTACAGACTAGCAAAAGCTTAAGGCAAATACTCTTCTAGGTTTTGCAAAGCTTTCAAGCAAGGTTTYCTCTTTCTTATCAAGAAATGTCTTTAGGCTGGAAAGAGACAGCTGAGCTCTGCTGTCAGGAAGACAGTGATGCCACCCATCACTAACTCACAAATTTGCCAAATTCCCAAATTTGGACACCTATGCAGAATTCAAGAGCACTGCATTGCATGGAATTGCAAAGAATTATTAGGCAGTTTAATCAGTAATTATACGCTATCCATTTACTGAGAGATGCACTCACTGTGAAAGGGACTTGGCTCTGTCTGTGGCTGTCACCTCCTGTTTCTGACCATAGAGAAACAAAGCTGCAGTTTTGTGAAACATTTCAATGGAGCAGGCTGTCAGTTCTGCCAGGCTTCTTATGGCAAACGCATGAATATCCTGCAAGAGTGACAAAAATTCCCCATACCATACAAAAACTAGCTGCTTTTATTATTTAAAACAAGTCAATCACACAACACACTGTCACTACTCTGCCCTTTTACACCTCAGAATCCATACAGAAATAGAAACAGATAAACTCTGTGAGTCACAACTCTAACTCAACAGCCAGATAAACACTGCAGACAGATATTCTTTTCCTTGATTACTCAGTTACCTCTACTGATTTCTTAGCATCCTGGTCACCATCTCTGGATCCTACTTCYTGGTTTTCTTCACTTTCTTTTTCTTCTTTAGGAAGACTGCTGTTGAATTGCGCTACCCACTCATGAGCAGAGGTCCTCACCTGTAGAAAGAAGTGCCACAATATTTAATGACTGGAATGAAGCACCCATGCACACAAGACAATGGAGGATTGGATTTCTCTAGAGAAAGGAAGCAGTTACAACTTCTGAGCTTCTGAAAAGAACCAGGACAAATGATCCCAGGGCCTTCAGGATTTTGCAGATGTTTGGCTGCACTGATCTAGTTGAGGGCAGTTGTCTCTCTAGCATCAGGGGCTGGAGTTTACCATCAACACCAGACTAACAGAGGTGCTTTAAAAACATGTCTGCAGAATGCTGCTGCCACTTGGTGGATCTGAAGGGTAGTGAAATGATGGCAAGAAAGGCAATTCTTCCTCATACCAACTCCTGAACACAGTAAAACCAGGTGCTTTGTACCAAGAGAAGCCTTCAGCTCATGACTGTAGGTTATTTCACCATGATGGCTGAAGGTTCACAAGGAAAATGCCATCTCCTTTGCCTACCATTGCCAAAAGATCTAAAATATGGCTTGTTTTCATGAATTTGGTATTTTCACAAGCAAACCAGGTGAAAAGAAGCCCTTGCTGTGAGGAAACTCTCCAGCTTTTAGAATATGAAAAATAACTCACCGAGATCACTTTGTCTGGCTTGGAGGATATGTGCAATTCTGAAAACAACTCTGTTACTTCTTTTGTGAATTCCTCGTCTCCTAAAGGACAGGAAAGGTTAAAGAATCCACATAAAGGACAGATTCAGGAATAAGCAGCACTTCAATGCACAGCTAGTTCTGCACAAGTCTGTCAACTGTTGCCTTTATTTCTCTTTGAATCACTACCTCAGGCAAGAACGCATCAAACCCAGTCTTTTCAAATACAATTTCTAAGGTAGGTTCTGCAAAGGTGGAGACATCAGTGCCTGAAGGTTAGTTCCTGCTTTCTCAATTCTGGTTTTGTAGCTAAGGTAACTCCATTTTTTTAATCTTCTATTTTTTTACAGGCAGCCTTTTATAACACTCTAACTTGCACATCACCTTGGAGAGTCTGAAATATCACTTAGAGCCTATGGTTCTCCTATTATATATAGCAGAGCAGATGTGAGATCCATTATGTGCAAATATAAAAGATACATTAAATGTGGAATGATAGCAAGTGCAGGTGTGTAAGCCCTCCCTGATGAGCATTTAGGTAAAAGCAATGCAAGAAATTTACATTTAAATCCATGTAATTCTGAAGAATCAGGGCTCTTGTGTGTGAATGCATCTCTCAATTTTTCTGTATGTGTGGCTAACTCTGATTTAAAGAACAAATAAAAAGGCTTTTTGCTTTCCCACAGGTTGGACAACTCTATTCAGTCTTTCCCCCTTAGTCAAGGAAACCCATCTTTYTCTGAATTTGCCTTTTGGCTCAGGGTCAGTTGTATGAACTGCCCAGGAGTMAACTCCAATCCTGCTCTGGCAAGAAATCATTCCTGCTACAAAATTACTGCACAGCAACTTTCCAGAGATGAAGGGTGTTGCTACCTGTCATGCCCCTGGTCACAGATGGCTTTAGGATTAAGCATCCAACTAAACTCAAATTTGGCATCMTGCCCTTTGCYACTGATCRGGGCTGGCTGGTTCTGCACTGAGGACCAACTTCTCTTCYCAGAACCTGGGGGTCTCTTACCCTTYTTTTCYTCCTCTTCTTCTTCAAAGAATTCAGGTAAAGAAAATGCTTCTTTGAGTTGCTCCATTTCCTCCTTCAGTGTGTCCAACTCCTCTCCAGAGAGGGCATTCAGAACCGCTTTCACCTGGTTAGGGGCAGCACAGYCAAAGAGAAAATCAATAAATCCATCCAGTAGGATGGAAAATACAGGTTAAGGCAGCAAACCAGTGGATGTGAGGAGAGTAACCTGTGAAAAGTTGAAGACCTGCAGGAATTGAGGCTGACTAGGGCAAAGGGAATGGCTTTAGGAGCTGAGGACAGGACAAACTGCTCCCAAGGTAAACACCAGATCCTAATGCAAGGATCAAAGTGAAATTCTGTAATAATTTTACAGTGAGTTCTTAGCACTTGATTTTACATGTATATACATATATTTCTAATCTTTTTTCCCCTGCTCAGCTGAACTCAAAATAGAAAGCAAAATGCTCAAGGCCATTACCTTTGATTCACTCTCTMTGGAAAGCATCTCTAAGGCCTCCAGATGCGAAAGACCCTGAAACTCATCAAACAGTAACCCATAATGGGCTTTCTTCTCAGTAGCCATGGTAACCTCGGTAGCTGTCTGCTGCTCTTCTTTCTCCTTTGCCTCTCGTAAGACCTGAAAAAGAAAAGCAGAGGCCTCGTGACAGTGCCAGGAGATAGAGAATACAGGAGGAGAAGGCTTTTGGCTCAATAGCAAAAATGGTTTCTTAACGACAGGGCCACAAAAGAAGGGAGAAGAAATGAGAGAAACCAATGAGGTGCTGATAGGGAGCTGCTGTACCTGAGATAACGTGGAGGTWCTGTTCATTAGGCCCTTTGTTTTTTTGAATCCAGGGTCTCCCTCAGCTATTACATCCATTGTCTTTTTCCCAATGAATTCCAAGGCATCCAGACCTCCACTAATAACACTTTTCCCCTAGGAATCAGATATGGATAAAGACAGCACATAAAACTCACAGAAGATTACACAATGGAAGAAATTGAATTGGGAGGGTTTTATCAGCAATCTTATACTGGGCACTCACATAAAAGCCAAATTGGTCCTTGTCACCCTAAAATTCAAMCCTAATCATCACAAAGAGAGCAGAAGGACATGGAAAGAGCCACAACACATTATCACCCAACAGCTTATTACAGCACCCAGACAGCTGCAGCAATCTGATGGGAAATAAATTTTTAGTTTGTGAACAAGCTGGTTTTCAGCACATGACAGTATTTAGTTCTCATCCTTCCAACGAGAAAACACCAGACCTGTGGATTTTGATTGCTAACTTTTGTTCAAGCCTTAAAAGCAGAAAGAGAAGCCAGCTTTCCATCTGCAGCTCTTTCAGATTCACAGGCAAATTGACAAGACAGCAGATCACAAAAGCWGTTTCTAAGGGTAATGGCTTCCTTTGAAGTGCATTTCTCATGGTCACAGGAGCAAGCTGATTTCCAAGCAAATTKGGCTAGTTTCACAGAGGTTTTTGAAGAGGAGAATGGATTTCATCTCTAGACAGCTCTGTGGAAATCAGTGGAAATACTCCAGGAATGAGTCTGACCCTGCATTTACCTGACTACTCCAAAAGAAAGTCACAGAGATCACAGAGTACAGAGGTGACATGCACAGAAATGCATGCCCTGCACAATCCGCCGTTAGGACTTTTTTGTTACATACCAATATTTAATACAGAACTATCAAAATTCAAGACATMTTTCATATCAGGTGCCAGTTAGAACCAAGGCCCAGGGATAAGGGCTGTCTGAAGGCAAAGAGTTTCTCACYCTTCACCCCACAAATGTCAACATTAAGTTTCCTCTTACAATATTTTGAATGAAAGGCCAGAACCCCAAAGCTCCCTTAAACCCATTTTCTCCTGCTTTCCCAACTCACTCACTGTGCTTTGGACTGCAGTAGAGATGGTTGATAAAACTTCAAGAGCACCAGCAATAGGGAAGGAGCTGCCATCATCAGCTGCATCTGCGTTGCTGGCAGCAGGATTCTCACTTCCTGTGTTAGGAGGCAGAAAATTAACTTCCTGACTTCCAAAAAAAAAAAAAGATCCTGTCATCCACAGAGTGGCAAAAGCTACAATTCAGATTCTTTTCCTCCCTACTTTTCAGAGCTAACAGAACCAAGCAATAGAGTATTATTTTAATGTTTTTATTATTGATCTCAATGTGCATGGTGCAGAGTAAGGTGATGCTATTTTGGGGCTGATTATGTTGTAAAAAACATTTCAGGGTCACTTTTATGCAGCACAAAACTGACCTCCTGTAGAATCTTTAGACTCTGATGAGATTTCACTAGGACTYGGGATCCCAAGAGTTGTTTCTGCTTTTTCTATGACATTTGAAATACCTTGACCTAGAGAAGAYAGAAATCAGAACAGAAACAGGATTAGAGCTGCATATTCTATMATTCTGGATTCCTTCTGCTCTAAACAGTTTAATCAGTACTAAAACCTCCTTCTATCCAGCTCACCTACCAATGTAATGAACCAAGGTTTCATCTCAGCTTTTAAAYGAAGTTGTAAATTCTGGCTGAACACCAGTTTAAAATACCAGGTGAAAATTACACAAACGCCTTAAAAACTTGAAASTAATTTTGTCTGTGCATATCTCCTTAATCTCACTGTATCTTTTGGTACAAGCTTTTCCCATTACTTGAACAATTCTCTTGACATTTTTCCAATAATGGCTGCTATAACTGAAATCCTCTTCTCTAGGAACAGGTTCTAAAGCACCAGCTWGAGACACACACCATGATTAAAATATTTATCAAATACCAGAAAGAGCCTTACCTACAGTAGCTACGGTAGCAGACGCAGTTGACAGAAGAGATTTCCCCCAGCTCCCCCAGTAGCCCCACCCTGTCTGAACTGCAGGAGGATCTGAGACCTTTAAAGAAGAAAAACAGAAGACTGATGCAGGCATTACAGTGAGGAAATGAACACAAGCAGTCTGTGACATGTGCCTTTTGTRCAGCTTTTTCATTTCAGAGAACAGCAATGTGAATTTTCAGAATGGAGTGGGGCTTATGCTCAGAGTTCTCCCAWGCCCAAAGCCATGAAATGTGAAATCAGATCATTCCAAGTAAGCACAGAACATACCTTGACRGTTTCAGCTGCAGGCTTTTCTGTGGCAGCAGGCTGGCTTGGGGGCTTGGGTTCAGGTCTTTTCCGAGTCACAGGCACAGTCTCCTGTTCTTTCCCTTCGCTGCTTTCAGAGCAGCCAAGTTTCTCTGTCTTCTGTTCATTTTCACCTTCATAAGAGGTTTCTTCTTTCAGATTTTCACCACTGTCTTCCTCAGACATGACTAAAAACATGCATAGAAAGCAAAGCAAATAAAAYAATCACTCCCTTACACTTTGACATTAGTTCAAGAGCATCATGTCTGTGTTTTAACTAATTAAACAYAACGTTGCCACACATACCCACATGAACAGATTATGTTTTTAAGCAAGTATGTACACCAAGTTATGTCTGACTARAAGAAATGTCATACTTGGAAGTTTAAAGTCCCACAGGGACACGTGGCTTTATCTAACTGACACACCCTCTCCGTAGGAAAAAAAACAGTCTGCTAACTCTGAAAAACAAATGACGGTAGAAAAGGGCCTCAGATAATGAAATACATTACGTGTTCAACCAAAATACAAGCGAAAACAAATAGCTCGGGAGGACTGCTTTGAGGAGTGTAGGATACAAATGGGGACAGCTGTCACAGAGCTGAGCAGGTAGGGAGGCAGCGACTGGGTCACTTGGGGACGAGCACTGCAGGGCACGAACACCTCCCAGAAGCTGCGATGTGCTCCAGCGGCTGTGCCCCAGCATCGCGGATCGGGGATGGGGAGCCCACGAGCGGGGCTGTCACCGTCCGGGCTCCTCGGGCTGCAGCTGCGGCTGAACTGACCTGGGGGCCGGTCAGGGCCAGGCCGAGCACCCCAGGGACCCCCGGGATCACACGGGGGTGATTTTATACAGCTGGGAACTGTTAGCTGTGTCCCCGGCCAGGCGCTCACTGATGCAATCGGGACAGCTGCCCCCGCCACGGGGCAGTGGTGGCCTCAAGCGAAGGAGAGGAACAGCTCCGGCTGCGGGCTGGCACCTCCAGCCCATCTGCCCAGGATCCTCCACAGCGCCCASGGCCCCCGGGCCACCCCCGGCACCGTCCCCAGCCCGCAGTCCTGGAGGCCTCTCCGTGCCTCCGCTTCCCCAGGAGACTCCCAAGGTCCCGTAACCCCCAAACAGGGCTGCTCCATGTGGCACCCCCACGTTCCTTGCCTTTCCCCATGGGGCTCCTGCCGCACAACGGGCCCCGCAGGTGCCCACACRCCCCTCCACGGTCCCGCCTGTGCCCCCCAAAGCGCCTGTGCCCGCGGCGCTGCCAGTGCCCCGCAGAGCCCCCGGAGCCCGCTGCCGGCCCTCACCCTCACCCTCGGCGCTCGGCGCGGCCCCCGCGGCTCCGGGCGGACCGTGACCAGCGAGGCCGGCGCAGAGCGGCCCCGGCGCTGCCCCGGAAGCGGCCCCAGCCCGGGGAAGCGCGTCCGGGCGGCGGGGCTGGCAGCGGCGGCGGCGGAGCTGAGGGACGAGCCGGGCCGGGCCGGGCCGGGCACTCTGGTCCCGGTGAGAGCGATGGTACCGCCTGGTTCACTTGGCGAGACCGGGGTCGGGGGCAGCGGCGGAGGGGGAGACCGCGGGCCCGTGTCTCGCCTCGCTGTTTTGGCGTGGACGTGGAGCGGGGGCAATAGGGACGGGTTTGGAGGGCAGCGAAGGTGGTGGAGGGCCTCGAGGGAAAGCCACAGGAGGAGCGGCTGAGGTCGCTTGRTCTGKTCRKCCTGGAGACGAGGAGACCGAGGGCAGAGCTCATCGGGGGCTGCAGCTCCTCACGAGGGGCAGCAGAGGAACAGCTCCGATCTCTGATCTGTGTGACCAGGGAACGGCTGGAGCTGTGCCGTTCCTGTGGGAGGCTCAGGCTGGATATCCGCGAAAGGTTCTTCCCCCAGAGGGTGGTGGCACTGCCCAGGCTCCCCAGGGAATGGTCACGGCCCCGAGGCTGCCGGAGCTCCAGGAGCGTTTGGACAGCGTTCTCTGGCACAGGGTGGGATTGTCGGGGCGTCCTTGTCCGGCCAGGAGTTGGACTGGATGATCCTTGTGGGTTCCTTCCAACTCAGGGTATTCTGTGAGTTTCTGGCATGACATCACGGCCCAGTGACACCAGCCCAGTGGCGTCACCCCTGGTGGCCCGGTGCCCTCGGCTGCAGTGTGATCGTGTCGTGTGTCCCGCTGCCACCAGCAGCCCGCGGGACCGGCGCTTTTCAACAAGCGAGCTTGGAGCATTCAGGGGCTGTGGAGACGGGGTAGTGTTAAGTGGAACTTTGTGCCTGGTCGATTTTAGCTGACGGGGAAAAAAAAACAGTTTTGGTGTGCAGCCAGTGCCGCGGTGTTGTGGCGAGTTACCCCATGACAAGTGTCTGGCAGCCAAGGGATACGCACAGCAAAACACCATGATCTGTCTGGCAGCCAAGGGATACGCACAGCAAAACACCAAATCCCATCAGGCAGCCAAGGGATGTGCACACCAAAACACTAAATCACATCATGCAGCCTCACCCAGCGAGGCTGGCACTGGTGTCCTGTGGATTTGCTGCTTAGGTTGGGTTTTGGGCTGTGAGTGCTGCCACTCACCCTATAGAGCTTTGGCTGATGCCAAAGGTGAACCCAGCAGAAGGTGAGCCCTCCCTGTGGCCTCTCCCATGCTGGAAATACCTGGAATAGCTCTTGTCAAGACCGTGCTGTCTATTTTGGTAAACTTCCCAAGAGTTTCTGTCTGCAGAACTCTGCCAAATATGTCTCCCTGGTTTGACAGGGTCAGAGGGGGMTTGCAAATGGTATTTCTGCAAGACATCAGCAGCCTGTGCTCTGTCAGRTGTGTCTTGGTTTATTGCCTCACTCCAGGTATGAAGTGATGTTATAAGCAGTGAATGTAAAACCATATAACTTGCAACCTCTTGGGCCCCAATTTTGCAGTGCCWTATAAATGCGTGTAATTTTAAGTACTATCAGTGCTTCCACTGACCTCAGTGGGACTACTTAGAGTGCTCTAAGTTAAACACAAATACACTTMTTCAGGGTAGGAGCCAAGGATGACTCATACAAGTGCATGCATCACAGATGCATCTTACCTTTCCACTGCTATTTGTTGTTACAACTTATGGTTTAATAAAGGTTAAATGTGTTGAGCTCAGCTTCAGGTTCAGTTGTAAAATAGCCAGTTTCTATTCTGCACATTTCGTCTTGCTTGAGCTTAACACTTTGTTGAAGAATTGTGATGTTGGCACTGATCACGCTTTATCCTTTTTGGGTCCTTTATCAGCTCCAGCAGCTGTTTTGCATAAGTGCAGTGGATGAAGAATATGGATTTTGCAAATCATTTTATTGTTCCCAGCACTCGGYAGTGAGAGATCATTGTCTGCTTAGCAATAATGGCTTTTCCAAAAGACAAACAATTTCTAATAAATCAGACCTCGAAGAATTTAATAGTAAAATTAAATGACCCATCACCAATGGTTTATACATTATGCAGGCTCAGTGCAAGTATAGTGGAGAGCATATGCAATTACTGAAGATAATTATTSTTATGAGGGAAAATGTTGCTGAGTATTTCTTGTGTTAAAYAAATGAGTGAGAKTCCTAATGTCATTTAGGAGGAGCRTCACAGACRCTYGGAAATCTTAACAATTCRAATTTAATAATTTAAAATGACAATAGCACAGGCAAAATATAACAGGCWCTTGGATTATTCTCTAATAAATCTAAACTACCAGTTGGGAGGTTATTGTTTTAGAAGACTATGATTCAAGAGTGAAGCTGAGGGTTTGTCTTTGCTGCAGAACTATCATCAGTTGTAACTGCATCAGATGCTGTGAAGTCAATGTGATGCRTGCAAAAGCCATTAAGTGCATTTTTAGCTGAAGGCAGATGGGTCATGGGGTGATGTCAGCTGAAGGTCTGGGACCACAGCACCTCAGTTGCCACCACCAACTGTGACAGACCTTTAAAGTGACCCAAATGTCAGGGGTCCACAAGCTTCTACCAGTCCACAGCCTGCCTGGGAGGAGCCTGCACAAGGTTACCAAAACAGGTCAGTTGTCAGCAGCCATCTGAGGGCTCTGAAACACTGAAAATACCAGGGGTCTAAAAAAGGAAGGTTAAAACCACTCCCTCAAACAGAATAGTTGTTGATCAACAACAGCCTTAGTATTGGGTTCTTTTCAGACCTGTGGATGGGATGCTCTCCTTCAGAGGCAGCAGGATTCAGTAATGCTTTTGCTAAAGAGTAGCTGGTAAAAAACAGGAATGAAAGAGGCCTTGGTACTGTTTTTAACTGTTTAGCTGTGGGAAAGTAGCTACTCTAGCACAATGGTATAATTGAGTTCTCTGCACTAGTCTCATCTTAAATGAAAGGACAAGAGGCATGATAGAAAACAGAGTGGAGCCAATGATTAAAAATAAAAAAAAGAAGGCAGATGAAGGGATTGCTGTTTACAGAGAAACAAGTAGGGAGCCTGTTTTCCAGTTTCTCTTGCAGGATTCAGTGGGTGAGTTGGTTAGTCAAGCTTGAAGGAGAGTTGGACACAGCTGTCTTCTTTGCCTTCTTTGTTAAACTGGTTTTGGCAATAGCTGCAATAGAAATGGAAATGGGTCAGATAACACATTTCTCATCAGATGTCAAGTCTGGAATCTGGTTTGACCTTCGATAAATTAACTTTCACCAAAAAAATTCTCAGTCTGGATAGCATCTTATCAGTAGAATTCCCCCTTTTGAATACACTTCATTTGTGTCTGATGAAAGACAATTACTAGAAATCACCTGGTTTTATGCATATTACATTATTTTCCAAAAGTGGTTTAGATAGTGTTAACTAGAAATTCTAGAAGGATGAAAAGTATCTGCATTATCAATTAAGTAAATATGTCCCTTTGTGTTGCGATATTTATGAAATTCCATTCCATTAACATCTGTTATTTGTAGAAGAGATGATAAATTTGAAGTCACACAGTGGTATAAAGTGAGATATTCTTCAGGATAACATTTGGGCTTGTGGCTTCTGTAAATGGTTCTTTAAGTCTCTGGACCAGTCTAGATGGAATCATAACTTCAGGGAAGACAGATTAGAAATTTCCTTGAATCGGGCTTCCAGGAAATTTGATTACAGATTGTCTCTTATCAGTGTCATCTCATTTTGTTACAAGTTGGTTTTATTCTGGCTTTGAAAAAAGGAAAATCCTTGTGTGCAAAAGACAGAAAATTGAAGGCTGTATCCTAATGTCTTAAAATATCTTTTGTGCATGATTATTTGAAGACTGTCTGTCCCTAGACAAAACAATTTTCCACATTGCTATGAAGTTCGGGTAGAAAAGACAATGAATAAGATGTGACTGCTGAGATGTAGCAGCAAAAAGTAAAAGATTTTCAACCAGAGCTCATTGTARAACAAACAAGAGTAATAGGAAGCAGACTTAGAAAATGCAGCAGCAACAAGARTTATTGCAAAAACGGAAGTATGTTTAGACATTAGTGTCCTGATGTTCAAAAAGGGATTTCCTCTCTGTGGCTGTAGATAACCACCATGAGACTTTTCCCAAKAAATTAAATAATATTATGTAGTATTTAGACACCTAATGCCAACTRTGCCCCTAAAATCAAGTAAGTATATGTAAATGCTGAAAATCAGATGTGTGTGTGTACGCTTTGGTTTCTCTCTGCACGGTAAATGAAAGACTGGCTTTAGAAAACCAGGGCTGAAAAGCACTTTGATACTGGTGGGGARAGAGACAGAAATTACATCCTCTTTCTCTCTTTTCTTCCTCTATTAAGAAAGCAYTTTTTCTCTGGTAACAAATGCAGAATCCACTTTGAAAGATAATTATGCRTTTCCAGTAGTCAGAACAATTTGTTCTTTTTGTAAAACCTTTTTTCCCTAATGATTATTGTTCCAGAGATTATTTATTTGGTTGGGAAGATGAACATCTAGTGGACTGGAGGTTGTGCTAATGCCTTCTTACCCTCATTTTATTACTGTGTTCTGAGCAAAGCTCTGATTTGGAACYTCTCAGCTGACAGTTTTTATTATGCTAATCAAAATCTGTTTACTGGAAATTAAATTTAAATATACGGTAACCTTGCTGTCATTAATAAACTTACTGCTTTTTTTTTTTTCAGTTGTACTTCCAGTTTCCCCTTCACATATTGATGGTCTTGAAAGTGCATTTGGATCYCAGACATTTTCCATCACAGAACAAATCAAGAGCCTCCTCTCCTATCTCAGAGCAATACCGACAGCTTAATATCATATGACCTCATTTCTCCAAATTAAATGAAAGAAGAATTTTCACTAACTTTCCATGAAGCTCAGTTATTGCCTGTTAATTTTGACTGTTAGTGCTGATCTTTCAGTTGGATTCACAGTGGAAAATGTAGCTTTTAACAGGACAGWTGCTTTGGGGTCTTTCAATGCAT